GCAGATCTGATTCACCTGGTTCCTTTCTCTCTTCTTAATAAGTCTTGCTAGTGGTGTATCAATTTTGTTTATCTTTTCAAAGAACCAGCTTTTACTTTCATTTATTTTCTGTATAGCTCGTTTATTTTCTATTTCATTTATTTCTGCTCGTATCTTATTTTCTATTTCATTTATTTCTGCTCGTATCTTTATTATTTCCTTTCTCCTGGAGTTTTTTGGATCTTTTTGCTGTTGCTTTTCCAGTTCTCTGAGGCATGATGTTAGGTGATCCATTTGCCTTCTTTCCATCTTACTCTTATGTGCACTAATTGCTATTAACTTCCCTCTTATGACTGCCTTAGCAGTGTCCCAAAGATTATGGAAACTTGTGTCCTCATTGTCATTGGTTTCCATGAATCTTTTGATTTCAGTCTTTATTTCTTTAGTAGTTATGGAGTCATTCAGGAGTAGGTTATTTTGTTTCCATGTATTTGAGTATTTTTGAGGACTTCTCTTGCAATTAAACTCAAGTTTAATTCCATCATGGTTGGAGAAGATGCTGTATATAGTTTCTATGCCTTTGAATCTATGGAAGCTTGCTTTGTGCCCTATGATGCGGTCAATCTTCGAGAAAGTTCCATATGGGGGTGAGAAAGTGTATCCTTTGGTTTTCGGATGGAAAGTTCTACAGATGTTTAAGTTCATTTGATTTATAGTATCATTTAGATCCTTTATCTCTTTACCTATTTTTTGTCTAGATGATCTGTCCAGAGAGGATAGTGCAGTGTTGAAGTCTCCAACAATTAGTCTATCTCCTCTTTTAGATCTAACAGTCTTTCCTTCACATATTTGGGTGCTCCTGTGCCAGGCGCATAGATATTAATAAGCATTATATCTTCTTGATTGATTGACTGTTCTACTACAATATAATGCCCTTCTTTCTCTCTTTGAACAGTTTTTGTTTTAAAGCCTGTTTTGTCAGAAATTAGTATCATGACTCTAGATCTTTTTGGTTCCTATTTGCATGGAAAACCTTTTCCCATCTTTCACTTTCAGTCTATGTATGTCTCTATCCATGAAGTGGGTTTTCTGTAGGCAACAGATAGAGGGTCTCTGTTTTTTAAATTCATTCAGCCAGTCTGTGTTTCTTGATTGGAGAACTTAATCCATTAACATTCAATGTTATTATCGATGTTACTGAACCTGTCCCGTTTAAGCTGGCCATTGTCTTAGTTGCCTTTTATTCCTTTGTTTTTGGCTGTTACTTCTTTAGTTTTCCTGGAATAGTGCTTTCTTCAGGGTTTCTTGAAGAGCTGGCCTGATGTTGGCAAATTCTTTCAGGTTTTGTTTGAGAAGATTTTAATCTTTTTTTTCCCATATGAAGGATAATCTTGCAGGATATAATAATCTTGGTTGAAATTGTTTCTCTCTTAACACTTTCAATACATCTTCCCATTCTTTCCTTGCTTGCATTGTTTCCATTGAGAAGTCTGGTGTTAGCCTGATCAGGTGACCTTTGTAAGTCACTAGTCATTTCTCTCTTGCCACTTTTAGTATCTTATCTTTATTTGTGATCTTAGCCAGTCTGGCTATGATATGCCTTGGGGAAGATCTTCTTGGGTTGATTCTATTTGGGGTCCTTTGTATTTCTTCGGTCTGGATGCTGGAGTGCCTCTCTATGTTTGGGAAATTTTCTTCCAAGATTTCATGGAATAGATTTTCCATGCCTTTATTAATTTTTTTTTCTTTTTTCTTTTTTTTTTTTTTTTGGAGAGGTTTTCGCTATAGGGTGCGTGCGCTCATCAGATGAGTTCTAAGCCACCGGGTCCGGGACGCGAACTGCGGTCGACTACGTGGGAGTCCGGCAACATAGTCATTATGCTAACTGCTGGTTCCCGCCTTTATTAGTTTCTTCATCTTCTGGAATACCAATTATTCGGATGTTAGGGTGTCTAATGGAATCTAGCATTTTTTGTATGTTATCATTTTGTTTGTTTGTTATTTTCTCTTTTTGGTGGTTTTCTCTAGGTCAGAGGTTTTATCTTCAACATCAGAGATTCAATCTTCAGTATGGTCAAATCAACTTTTAATCCTTTAGAGAGAGTTTTTGATTTCCTGTATTACAGACTTCACCTCTAATAATTCTATTTGACTCTTTCTTAGCGTGTCCATTTCTTCTTTCATATTGTGGAAAGATTTTCTAATCTCCTGTAGTTCACTGTCTCTTTTCTGTTCCAACTCATAGAATTTGGTCACCATGAATGTTCTAAATTCTTTTTTGGACATTTTGGAAACATCCTCTGTTTTTTTCAAGAAATGGAAGGGAGTCACTGTGTTCTTTTGATGGAGCCTGCTGTATTCAGTCTTGAGCCTCCTCTTCTATTTCTAGCTATTGGGAGATGTGTTCACTTTGGAATACCTTTTAAGAGAATGTTTCCTCGAATAGGAGCAAGTGTGTTTACCTTTTGCTGTGGACTGAACACTGCTGAAGTCTCTCTTCTGTTGTGTTTGTACATTAACTTTTTGAAGAACCTCTCATACTTCAAGTGACTTCTTCTCAACTTTATAATAAAATTTTATCTCCTTATAAAATAAAAAATATTTTAAAAATGTGTGTGTGTGGGGGGACCAGCAGGTGGTATGGTGTTAAGGTGCTAGACTCTCAGGTGGTTGACCATGGTTCAAGTCCTAGACCTGGCACTTGAAAATTACGCTGGGCGTGTGAGCACGTATCCTCCAATCCCAAAAGGAGAATGGAGGCAAAGGGATTGTGATGTAGCCATTTCATTTCCCTCTCTATCTCTGTCTCTGACAAGAAAATGTATTCCATGGCAAAAAACTAGAAAAAAAAAAAAGTATGTGAGAATTGGAAATGAAGGAACTGCTTGTTTACAAAATAAATTGTAAAATTATAGTAAGCTAAAAGGGGCCTTCAAAAAGTTTGTGGAAAATGAATATTATGAAAAAATTATGCATGGATTTCTAATTATTTTTTGCATCAAAATAAACTCGCACTTTGATTATACTTCTCCAAAACTTTTGGGAGTTTCTTGTATGTTTGTGAAAGACTAATATATTTACATATGCCTTACTGTATTATAACAGAAACAAAATTAACTTAGTTCTTAGGTAGTTTATACTCCTCAGTGTCTAAGAAAATTAAGAAAACTTATTCATATCCTTGTCCTTGCCAAATTAGATTGTAAAGTCAGGATCAGTAGTGGGGATATGTTACAATTAAGAAAAATGTCTCTTTTGATCTGATAATTCAGCCCAGTTATGATGAAAACCCACATAGGGTAGTGGAGTCTAAATTCTCTTCTTTCATATTGAACCAACATCTTTTCTTCCTATTCATAAAACAAAAGATTGTGATGTGTGGATGAGGTGAGGGTCTCAGTGAATTAATATTGAACTTCAAAGTAATCAATTAGGGAAATGCTTGTTTTTTCCTCTTCAAAAAGGCCACACAGGGACCAGCAGATGGTGTAGTGGTTATGTCACTGGACTCCCACATGGCTGACCACAGTTCAAGTCCTGGACCTGGTGGCTTGAAACTCATACCAGGCATATGTGTATAGGTGCCCAAGATCCCAGGAGAATGAAAGAGAAGGGATTGTGGTGTGGCCATCCCTGCTAGGGGGTGATTTCTTACTTTCCCTCTCATTGTTTTTATCCCCCCCACACAACCCCCACAGCACACAGGCAAAACCTCTTAAAAAAAAAAAAAAGCCATACAACATAATAAAGTTAAGTCTTGTTGCCTTAAAGCAATATTTTTTTCAAAGAAGTACGTATTTTTTAAAACTTTATTTATTTACTTACTTTAATTTGATCAGAGAGGGACAGAGAGAGAGAAAGTTAGAAGGCAAGCCGCTAGGTCCAGACTTGAACCACAGCTGGCCATGTGGGAGTCCAATGCCCTTAACCACCATGCCACCTGCTGGCCCCTAAAGCCACATTTTTAAAAAAAAAAATTCACCAATTCATTCTCTATATTTATTAAGCACAGACAACACCCCAGATAGAGTCCTAAATGCTGGGCCCCAGACGTACAGACCAGGTTTACCAGTCATCTTACCATGAGCAGCAGCATGGTATGGCATGAAACAACTTTTAGAAATGAATCATATTTAGAATTTTTAATATCAGCAGGTTTGGTTATAACATGCACCTGCCTTCTGAGCCCTGCTTTGCTCAGAACAGAATTAAACAAAAAACACTTGTGCAGTAGAAAGAACAGGGAACCTGTGGGAGCTTCAACAACAGAACCTACCAGTGTGAAGGTATAAGAGTTCTGTTGAGCACATTGAAGGCAGCAGTTACAAACTAGAATGGGCACACTTTGATCTGTTTCAAAGAAATATTTTTTGTCTTATAATTAGGTAAAGCTTACCATGGTAGTATTTTTCTATTAAAAACATGCTAGAGATTTATGCAAGGATATAAATAAAAGCATAGAGGCAATATACAATCAGACAATCAAAGGGGCTGAATCATCAAAGCAGCTGACACTTAGCAGAGTTTAGGCCTAGCCAAGCCCACACAGAAGGTGAAGCTTCCATCAGAACCTGCCCCACTACGTGACTGCTCTTACCTTTCAACCTCCGCTCTCTGGCTGGGGTTGGTGATGGCCGCAATATACTGCATAATGTATTTACTGGCTTCTGTTTTACCAGCTCCACTTTCCCCTGGGAGGAAAAATTGTGCAAGACTTAACGTTATCACACAAACCAAGAAAATCTAATTTTTAACAAGATAATTTAAAATTTGAATGCTATTCATTTACAATCTCTTCTGTTGCATTTTTTGGTTGGCTGCTTTGTTTTTGCTTTGAGTTATCTTGTTCTGTCTTGAAATGGCATTGGATCTAATAGTTCTGAACATGTTGGAAAACATAAAACTATTACAGAAATAAAATAACAAACCTCAAATCGAGATGTACTTATGAAAAAAAAAATCTAGGAAAAAACTGTGGTAAACTAATTTTTTAGACTAAAGTTCAAATACTTGGCAGTGAGTAAGTATAACCGAAAAGAATGAGGTAGTGATGCAAGTGATGGCCATGGCTAAATTCACATAAGTTTATTTTCAATATTTTTAAAGAATTATTTATTTAATTTTACTCATTTTTTTCCCTTAATTTGCTATAGAACATGTGCACTCATGAGAGAGAGAGAGAAAGTGAGAAAGCAAACTGCCAGGTCTAGGACTTGCACTGCAGTTGGCCATGTGGGAGTCCAGCGCCTTAACCACCATGCCACCTGCTGGCCCCCATAAGCTTATTTTCTATAGCAAAATTTCTCTTACTCTTAAAGGGTATAAGATAATTCTTTTAAAAATTAGAGTAACTTTCTTGAAAAAACAAAATGGGAAATTCTAGGCGGAAGGTACCTTGGAAAAAACAGGACACTTGGTATACTTGGTGGTGGTAGGAGAGTCAACATAGAAGTATCTATCAAATTTTAAATGTATATATGTCTTTTATTTTTGGAGAGGTTTTTGCTATAAGGCATGTGTGCTCGCCAGAAAGACAGAGAAAGAAAGTGCGAAATCACCTCCTGGGCGGAGGGTAGCCACACCACAATCCCTTCTCCCTTGTGCATGCACACACATGCGCCTGGTGTGTTTAAGCTGCCGGGTCTGAGACTCAAACCGCGGTCAACTACATGGAAGTCCAGCGACACAGCCATTACGCCTACTGCTGGTCCCAATGTATATATATCTTCTGACCCCTTTAGAAATTCTCCTAGGGAGATACTAAAAAATGCTAACATAATCAAATAATAACATTAATAATCTCCAAAGGTTTAAAAAATATTTCTGTAGGAATATAGTAAATGTCATACCTCAAATCCCATCAGTAAAGAACTGGATCAATACGTTAAGATTCAATTGTTCAGTAGAACACTACACAATTGTTAAAAAGAATGCACTGTCTCATAGGTATGCTAATAAAAAAAGAGGTCCAGTATACACTGTTAAATGGAAAAGCAAGTTATATAATAGCAGATATAATAGAATTCTAAAACGTATAAAATTGCTACGTATGATAACTATTATAAATGTATATTTATAACAGAATTATATATGCATACATGACTAAATATATCTGCACATGCAGAGAAAATATATAAAAGAATAAATATTGAATACTAAAAGACTAACAGCTGTTACTGATACTATCTGAGGAGAAATAAAGTATTCAAGGGAAAGGTACTTTTTGCTTTTACTTCACAAACATAAACTTGGAAATACATATTGCCCCGTCTTTACAATGAGTCAGTACTGTTTTTGTAATTTCTTTCAATAAAATATAGTCCTAGGATAGAATTCTCCACCTCCAACGCTAAGTTACATCTTGACCTTTACTATGTTTCAATGGGGAACCAGCAGGTGGCATAGTGGTTAAGGCGCTGAATTCCCACAAGGCAGACCACAGTTTGAGTCCTGGAACCAGCAGCTGAAACGCAAGCCAGGTGCATAGGTGTACATGCCCAAAATCCCAAGAGGAGAATGGAAGAAAAGGGAATATGGCATAGCCATCCCCCTGGGGCTTATTTTTCACTTTCTCTCTCTCTGTCTCTCTGGTGAGCCCAGGCACCCTACAGTAAAAAAAAAAATCTCTTTAAAAAAATGCTCAAATGTTTTAATTAATTAATTATTCTGTTCCATGACAGAGAGACAAAGAGACAGACACTCTCCACAGGGTGTTCAGACCACGATCCACTCCATTCAAAGCTGTCTGGATCATGGGCACATGCTGGGGCGCCCTGTGTGCTCAGGGAGACCTCAGAACACTAACTCGGGACTTTTCCCAGGTGAGTCTAGGTGCCTTACCACTGCAATACTGCCTGGCCCTAACCCTTAATATTCTTATCTATCAAGTAGAAAAGCAACTATTCTACCTGGGTATTTGGAAATCAAAATGAAATAATAATTGTAAAAGCTTTTTTTTTTAGAGAGATTTTTGCTACAGGGTGTGTGCACTCGCCAGAGAAACAGAGACAGAATGTGAGAAATCACCCCACAGGGAGGATGGCCATGCTGCAGTCCTTTCTCCTCCATTTTCCTCTTGGGATTTTGGGCATGCACACACACATGCCCAGCATGAGTTTTAAGCTGCCAGGTCCAGGACTTGAACCATAGTCAACTACATGGGAGTCCAGTGATGTAACCATGACACCATCTGGTGGTCCTCATAAAAGTGTTTTTAAAAAGCATAAAACCACTAATGCAAATGTATGATATTATTTATTAGCACCCAAAGAAACGTCCCCTTTGGGAGATGACATCCTGGGCCAGCGGAAAGGTATTTTTCTTGTCTCCATTTTACTACATAAGGTTACTTGCAGAGCTTGTTCATGTAGATCAGCTCCAGTTCTCAGGCACACAGAAACTGTAGCTCATTTTCCTCCACCCTGGGCTTCAGGGCTCACGTCTTCAGCTCTTAATGTCTGTTTCTGGTCCCCATGCTTCTCCATGTCCCTCAAAATCACCTCCCATACGCTAATCTGACTTTGAGTTTATTTTTCATTTTTGGCACCGCAGTATTTCGCTGTTTTGGATTTTGTTCTGTTATTTAAAATACTTTGTTAAATTTCATCTAGTACATTTATGTGCTTGAGATATAAGAAACTATTTTCCAAATCAGTTCAGTCTACAAATGGACCAGAACTCATCCAAGTGTAATATGTATTTATAAAAGAACCAAAGACGAGAGGACGATTAGAAATAATAGAAATAATTTGATATTTAATATTAGTTCATTACTTATTTTTCTCCTATAAGCTTGCTTAGTTTCTAACCTTAAAATTCGTTTTTGAATTATTTATTTTATTTATTATTATTTGCTATACAGCATGTGTGTTCACCAGAGACAGACAAGCAAGAGAGAGGAAAAGTGAGAATGCAGGCCACCAGGTCTAGGATCCTTGAGCACCGAATAAGTTAAATACATTTTGACCCTGGAAGTACAGGGGACCCTCCAAATACCTGATATCACAATACAAGTGTCTTTTGATCGCCTCTTCATAGCCTTGTAAGCAGCATCAGCAATAGCAAAAAGATGAGGAGGTCTCTCATATAGCTCACGTCCTTTATACTGTTCAATTGTGTCTCTCCCATAGATGTTCAATGACTTATAAGGATTCACAGAAACGACGACTTCTCCAATGAATGTGTAGATGCGCCCTTTTTCAAATCTGTGCAGAAGCAAAAGAAAAGGAAAAAGTAGCTATGGTTTTATAGAAATGCTATTTCTTTGTTCTTTGGCTTTTATTTCCAAGTAAGTTCAAATTATCCCAGGAACAATTTCTGAACTAGTATTTTATTGGTTTTATGAGTTTACTTTTAGAGACAATGTTTGAGACAATGTGCCCTTTCAGAGACTGCTGATTAGAAAGACCAGTATGGGTTAAAAGCTAGGCAAGAAGGAAGAATTCAACTTGTTGAAGGCTGATGATTTCCTGTTTCCAAATTATAAAAGCGCAAGAAGAGGAAAAAACTAAAAATAGTTGATGACAACTTCAGAGCTCTAGGAGGAAAAGAAACAGAAGTTAAAGCCGGTCTTGAAATTCACTTAACCAGATTTTCAATTATAAACAGGACCATCCACATACATTTATTCTCTCTCGTGAAACCTCACTAAAATGCCAGTGAAAGAATAAAAACAGGGACCGGCAGATGGCATAACGCTTACATCACTGGACTCCCAGATGGCCAACTGCAGTTCGAATCCCGGACCCAATGGCTTTAAATCCACACCAGACACATGTGTGTGTGTGTGTGTGTGTGTGTACGTGCGTGTGGCCAAGGTCCCAAGAGGAGAATGGAGGAGAAGGGAATGAGATGTGGCCATTCCCCTGGGGATTGATTTCTTGCTTTCTGTCTCTCTGTCTCTCCAGCGAGTGCATTTGCCCTATAGCAAAAATCTTTCTCTCTCAAAAAAAAGAAAGAGTAAAAACAGTAATACCCGTAACAGAGAGAGTGGTAGACACTTCCAGTATTTATCACATTTATTCTAATGACTGCCTAAAATCCCTTGGTGTACATTTATCATTATTTATTTGGTAATTTCCCTTCCTGGACTGGTCTGGTAGTGCAACAGCTAAACCTCGTGCATAAGCTGGATCTCACAATGTCAACAGCAGTTCGAATCCTGGCACCAGTGGTTGAAAAACATGCCAGTTTGCCTGTGTGCCCAGGAAGGAGAAATGGAGAAAAAAATTACTGCAGCATGACCATACCTCATGGGGTGGGGGTGGGGGGTGGTGGAGTCTTTCTCTCTCTGTCTCTGGTGAATATATGCTGTGAGAAATTCAGGGCTTGAAAGTAGGGTACCACGAAGGATTGAGAAAAGAGACGATGAAAAGGTTAAAGCAGGGGGCTAGAGATCTCTTGGAGCAGAGGCGAAACTGCGCCAGAGCAAAGCCCATTTAGTCCTAATTAAATTAGATAAGCAGTGGTTGAGTTTAGCTATAAAGAATAATGTACAAGATACAAGACATTCATCGAAGGTTATATTCCTTGTACAAGGTCGACAGCTATCATTAACTTAGTATCTGGACAGCCTCTTGGCTTGTGGAATGTTGTCCAACATTTTGAGACACAGTCCATCCCTGGAGCTCCATTCAGTTGACCATGCAGTCCCTGCAGCATTCCAACTGGGAATGGAGTTGCCTTCAACTCCCTTCTGCATTCTTCCCTTCTGGCTATCTCTCAGGCCTGGGCTGGTTTCTGTCTCCAAAAATATGCACCCTCTGGCGATAAAAAAGGAAGGAAGGAAGGAAAAAAGGAAGAAAGAAACTTTCTTTCCTTCTGCCTACTGTGGATAATACTGCAGAAAACACTCTTCACATGATCTTACAAATTGGTTCATTCTCAGAAATAGGATAGATGGTTGAAAGGTATATATATATATATATATATTAAGTGTATATATTAGGTTGTCAGGAAAGTCATGACATACTTTTCTATGCAAAAATGTGGCATGACTTTCCTGACAATCCAATAATATGATCCCACTTTATCCCATAAAACAAAGGTTAAAAAGTACCCCATAGAGACCAGCAGATGGCATAATGGTTACATTGCTGGACTCCCACATAGCTGACTACGGTTCAAGTTCCGGACCCGGTGACTTAAAACTCACGCCAGGCATGTATGTATGCGTGCCCAAGATCCTGAGAAAAGAATGGAGGAAAAGGGATTGCAAAATCACCCCTAGGGTGATTTCTAGCTTTCTGTCTCTGTCTCTCTGGTGAGCACATGTACCCTATAGCAAAAATCTCTCTCAAAAGTTACCCCATATAATACTTGAACTTGTGTGTGTGTGTGTATACATGATAACATTTTACATATGGATACAGAAGCACGGAAAAATACAGAGGTTATGTTTTAATCCATCCCTTCATACATAGTGGAGGAGATGGAGGTTACGTGGGCAGGTGGGAAGAGGCCACAAGAAGGAAGAAAAAGGAGAAAAAGTCCCAAAGTGAAGACCAGCACTGCGATTCTACCAATTCATGTGTCTATATTTATAAAGAAAAATTTAAATATGAAATTCAAAAAACCCATATATATCCACTCCCTACACAGTAATCCACATTGTAAACCTATGTGAACCAGAGCTTGGACAGTTCTATACCAGCCTGCTCCACTTGTTGGGAGGCACTCACTTCCAAGAGCTGAACAAAGGGCACGCCAAGATGGGCACATGCTGGCCCCCAAGCAGCATGTCTCTAAGAGCGACTGCTGCGCGGTCACTGGGGCAGGAGGAATAAGGAAGCGTGTGGACAAAAAGGCAAGATTGTGAAACTTCCTGCAAGCTGGAATGAAGGCCTGGGCTATAATTAAGGAGTGGCAACATGAGGATGCTGATAATGTCTACAACAAATCAAAACCAAGATTTTTATCAAGTAGTTAATGTGTACTTACATGAGAGTTATTTATTAACCCCTTTAAGGCTTTTTGTGTATTCTTCTATGGTGGTTTTCTTATCTACTCTATTTTAGAAAGTTTACATGGTAGCTAAAAGCATAACTGCAGGGCCAGCCAGTGGCCTAGTGGTTAAGGTAGTAAGAATCCCACATGGCCAAACCGTGCAATTTGAGTCCTAGACCTGGAACTTGAGAAACACACCAGGCACAAATGTATATGTGCTTCAAATCCTGAAAAAAAGGAGAAATGAGGAGAAGGGATTGTGGGATGACCATTCCCCATGAGTACACATACCTTCAGGACAAAAGAAAAAAAAGGATGATTCGACCCCATTTGCATCTGGGTTTAAATGCTTATGTAGTAAACTTAATAACAGTGAGACCTCATGAAAGCTATTTAACCTCCATGTGTTTCAACTCCTTCATCTATAAAATAGTGATAATATACCCCTGTATTCCTCTGGCATTGAGTAAGTACTTTCAGAAAAAGAGACAATTAATCTTGTGCTTCTAATTATGTTATGCATAAAGGAGATATTTTAATAAATGCTATGATTTTATTAACCTGACTACTGAAGTAACAGTAATCCTTACACCTGAGGAATCAATTCAATGATCATAATCTGATTACCTGCCTCAGCTGTCAGTCAACTACAAGTCACAAGCAAAATGTCTACCTAACTCATGTTCACAAATCCACAAAGATAAAGCTAAGATTCACCACCCAACTCTTTCTGGCTTAATCTATAAATTTGCAGTACACGCTCACAGGTATCTCCAAAGGAAAAAAAAAAAAAGAAAAGAAAAGAACAAGAGTCTTTCATTAAAAAAAAAAAAAAAAACACTGTCCACTTATTAAACTAAAGAAAAGGAATACAAGGATGTTAGAAAAAAATTACCTCATGAGCCTGGAACTCTGTGACTAAGCGACAAAGCAAATAACATGTGAAATTGGAACGTTGTTCTAAGATTCCAGGTTTGTCCAACAACATACTCTCATTCTCACTGGCTTCTTTTTAGAACAATTAATAGATCATTATTCTCTTAAACATTATTTCATTTCAAATAAAAATATTTTATCAAAACCTCATGTTTGTAAAATACAACTGAGATATATGCATAAAATCATTAATTACCTGACTATTAACTTGAAGATAGTGGCAAAGACCCAGCAGCATGCTCTACTAAATACGCTTTAGCAATTTACCAAACGTTAGAGGCTCATCTTACTTGAAAGTTTGGAGATCAGATATGAAACTTCCTATTTGGTTAGGTCTTAAAACCACCACTAGATGGTGCCAGGACATACCTCAACACCAACTCAAGCTTTCACTTAAGTTTTGGAAAGAAAGCCTTAGGGTATGCAGTCACTAAGGTTAGCAGTCACCTGCACCGTTTGCCTCCGGGAGGAATTGCAGTAATTATCCTATATAAAAAATGGTGACACCATCCCTTACAAGAGAACAAGGAAGGCCTTTTAATGACCTCTGTGTGCAAACCTTTTACGACAAACTCCTAAAATTCGTTCTTCAAATATTTTTTCAATATATACTTTGTGGTAGACATGGAGTCTAACCCTGGGAATTAAAAAAAAGAACAGAGAAGTGTTGGAAATACAGTAACAATATAATAAGGTAGGTAATACAGGAAAACATGCCCTCTGGTGGCAAAGATTATCACAATAAACCCCTTTCAGTGAGAAAGCCTACAGGGTAGGGTATATAAAATGTGGCCTCTGTGGTTCTCCCCACTTGACTTCTAACTACTAGCACCTCCATCTACCACATACATTTCTCATCCCTGCTGTCATATTTACAGTTCCCAAAGGTACCACACCTTTGTGGTTTTGCCCATGGGATTCATTCTGCTTTTCCCGGGCCTTTTCCTCCAGCACATGCTTGGCAGATTCCTACTCAGTCTTCAAATGCTGAAGCATCATCTCCTCTGTGATGGCATTCACTTTTTTTTTTTTAAATTATTTTGTTGAACTTTTTAAAAATTTATTCATTCATTCATTTATTTATTTTAATTTGACCACAGAGGCAGAGTGAGAGAGAGAGAAAGTGAGAAGGCAAGCTGCCAGGTCTGGGATTTGAACCGTGGTCAGCTATGTAGGAGTCCAGCACCCTTGATGTCCTACCTTCATGCCAGTATATGGTCTTTGCTCTGCTGACCCTTCCCCCCAGAGCTCCCCAAATAGTTAAAGTAACTTAATAGCAATTTATTTTTTTAAAAGATTTTTGCCACAGGGCATGTGCACTCAC